ATTCATATATTTGAAGTATAAATCTTTTGTAACCCCCTTACTTTTACTATAAAAGTAAACACAAAATATTTCCATTACAACAATAAGCATATATCACTTATTTGTGTGTGTTTACATATCAGTCTTTTCTGTTCTCTGCCTGGGACAGGTAAGTGTTCAGTTTCCTGAGGGATGTAATAATTTGATATAATTCTGGTCATTGGGCTTGGTGAGGAGAGGGCTGGGTGGTGTTTATTGACCTGTGATGTACATTAAGTAAGACTACATGATCTTGTGATCCCTTCTGACCTATAATCTATGACACCATCACTCCAATACTTGACTTTGAAGGGTAAGAATGTGTGTGGAGTGGAGGAGTATTTGCTTTAGAGTATATTACAATTTTCAAAGCATCATGGTTTCCCAGATGGCTTTGTGTACAGATCATGACTCCCTGGTTGAAGAACACTGATCTAAGCATTTTGTAACAACATTTTGATTTTTTTTCTGCTCACTTGTTTTAATTATGCAGGATGTCATGGAAAGGTGCCAGCTGCTAAGGACGTCTTCCGTATTCTCCAGGTGCCACCATCGAGTTGATCCAGAGCCATTCATTGGTCTCTGTGAAGAAGACATGTGCACTTGTGCTCAGGACATGCACTGCCACTGCCCAACTTTCCTAGAGTATGCCAGGAGCTGCGCTCAGCAAGGAGTGATTGTGGATGGCTGGCCCAAAGACAGCTTGTGTAGTAAGTCTCTGTGGTAATGATTCCAAAGCTTCCCCTTCAGGATATTACTGCTTAACCTGCAGGTCTGTACGTTGTAGTCCAGAGGGGCTGTCAGAAAAAGTTTTCAATCCGGTGCTGGTTTATCAAGTGAGATTATTTTGTTTGCTCATTCTTTACTAGCTTGAATCTATTCTACAGGAGCTTCTATCCATGATGTCCAGTAGCAGTAGAGTGCTGCCAGCCATTAGCTTTGGGATGAGTTGGCTTGATTTCCAACTCTGGGTCTAGCCTGTTTTGACCAAGGAAGCACACTTTTATTAGGGACAGATGATAACACCCAGCAGGTCAAAGAAGCGGCTAAAAGTCGGTGAGTGCAGAGAGCGGAGGGAAACGATGAGAACTTGCTGTATTCCAGAACATCTCTTTCAGTTGCCAGTGGGGAGAGTTTGGTTAACAAACGAGGCAGAATTACTTCCTTGGGATGTGAGCCTTTTTTGCCCTGCATGTTGCTCACTTGTTATCACTAATACAAGGATGTGCACAATGATGCCACTCTGATCTGGTTATGCATTACATTCACACAACACTCTCCTTGCACTGGCAGAAATAACTACACAAGGCATGGGGAACAGTAAATCAAGTCCCTCGTTTGCCCTGGGGAAGGGCCAGAACCTTGTTCCATCCTGATCAGCAGCATTTGTTTTCTCCTATAGACCAAGGGAGCTCCTTTGTTTACGTTGAGGTGGAGGAGATAAGTGACAGTTTAGGTCACTGCACCTGTACCCCCATCTATGGTCTGGCAAGGACATCCACTCTAGTGTTTTACTACTTAGTTGTCACCTCAGTTGGGTGGAGACTGCCATCTTTCTCCCTTCTGACGTAGGTATTTCCAGGCTGAACAGCTTTCTGATTAGACTGTGAGTCCACTAGCAGTCTGTTTCCTTGCTTGCTCCTCAGAGATTAGTAACAGTGTAGCTGGCCACCGTTATGATTTACCAATCAGTTCTTATGCAAGCATATTTTATTCTTGTGGTAAAAGCAGTGCTGGGAAAACATATTCAAACTAATATGCTAATCAGCTTACTACTCCAACAGGGGCTGTGGCAGGTGATTAGTCTTTCAGAACTCACCAAATTGTCTCTTTTTGGTCACAAGTTCGTAACAGCCTCAGCTCAGAACTAGCGCATTCATGAAAAATTTTAGCCTATCCTTTCTATGATTCGGGGGTCTTTGATCAGGAGTTTCCAGGAGCAGCTAATTAGTAGACAATGTGTTATTCTCAAGGCACAGCTTCAAAAGGATGGACTAGGAGATGAGTCATTTACAATCTGTTTACACTAAGTATTTCCAATGAACTTCGCTTCCTCTTGTTCCAAAAAGCCTTTTGAAGTTTCTAGTCCTTTCCAGTCATTGCATTCCTCAGTCTCCCAATAACACATTAATTTTTTTGCATTTTTAGTACCATGGACCTCAAAGGCATTAAATGTAACTCGGTAAATTTTATCTTAATTCCACACTGTCTAGGATTAGTCAACTGTCTAAAAAAGTTTAGATTTATTTTTCTTCTGCTAATGAGGGCCCTATTGATGCCTTCTAGAGAGATGAGGCCTGTCCCGCGTATAGTCCCCATGGAAAGAGACCACTCTGTGCCCTAATCCTAATGCAGGACAATGTAGCACTTTAAAGACTAACAAGATGGTTTATTAGATGATGAGCTTTCGTGGGCCAGTCATTTTTTTTATTGTATCCTTTGGTATATATGGTTGTGACTACTTTCTTCCACTATTTGATCTGAGGAAGTGGGTCTGGCCCACGAAAGCTCATCATCTAATAAACCATCTTGTTAGTCTTTAAAGTGCTACATTGTCCTGCATTTTGCTTCAACTACCCCAGACTAACACGGCTACATTTCTATCACCAATCTGGAGGGGAGCTAGAGCGTTAGTGTGGGAACCTTGAGTCTCGAGGGCCACACTCACGTGAGCTGGGGTATTAGGTTCCTCACCCCTGCTTTAAAAACAAAACCTCTTACTCTTAAAAATCGATCCCCGTATCTCTGGTCGGACCACCTTCACGCAGGTCCTCCGGGATGGAAAACTGCAGCAAACTGTATGAACAGAAACAAACAGAAGCCCCAATCGCAGCTGGAGGTGGGGCGAGGCTGCCCCAGCAGGGACACAACGGGGCAGCCGCCCTCCACCAGATCAGGAAAACAACCGCGCCATTCCCCGGCCAGCAGGAAGGCGAGTGCCGCTGCAAGGCTCCGCAAGGGAGGTGGGCGGCAGAGGGGTGTTTGTGCGCGGCCGCGCGCCTTCAGCGGCAACTCCCCTGGTGCCCCCTTCTCTAGTCCAGCCAGGCCTAAAATGCTCAGTGCTTAGAAGGCGGGTGGGGAACCTAAGGCCTGGGTGCGTGGGGCTCCTCCACCGTCGCCCCCTCCCCACGCCGTGGGGCTGGAGCGCACAAAGCGACTAGGCTGGGCCCTGCAGTGCTCTGGCGCCAGGGGGACGTTTCTCCGCTCAGCTGGGGGCCAGGCAGGGAGGCTTATGGCGAACCGCGGCCAATGAGAGCTGCGATCACCCGTACCTGCAGAGGCGCAGGTAGACAGAGAGTCTCATGGCCAGCATCTCTTATCCTTGCAAGCCACACCCCAGAGTATGAAATCCTCTGTTCTACAGCTTCCCTGTGTGATCTTATGCACACAGATTTGGCCTGGTTTACCCACACATTTTGTACTGGTATAACTATGCTGTTTATTGTGAAATAATTGTACTAGCACAATCTCTAGTCTGAATGGCACAGAGGTAATTTATAGCAGTTTAGTTTATTCCCCCTGCCCATACAAGATTAAGCCATAGCGGTGGGACACACCTCTCTACTGGTACAACTGTTTCCACCCTAGGGAAGGTTGTACTGCGATAGCTATAAAGGAGCAGTTACAGCAGTACAACTTTCCAGTGTAGACAAGACCTTAGGTGACCCGTGCCTCAGTTCCCCATCCGTTGTGTGAAGATAAATACATTGCACATTGTGAGTGGGTCTGGCCCACGAAAGCTCATCATCTAATAAACCATCTTGTTAGTCTTTAAAGTGCTACATTGTCCTGCATTTTGCTTCAGCTACCCCAGACTAACACGGCTACATCTCTATCACTAATCCTAATGTGAGGACATTGCTTTTTTTTGTGTTTATTTTTACTGAATATTGTGCCCCACAAAGAAACTCTGCTTGCATGGTGTAGTGTTGTCAGTGCAAACCAATGTAGTTATCACATGGCCATTTAATACAAGCATTATGGGGAAAATTGCCTGTGTCATGATGCGTATGTCCCACGAGTAAAGTCACTGGGAAGCAGAATTAACAGGAAATTTGATGATAGTTGATAAGAGAAGCCCTGGAGATGTGTGCATTCATGAACACATTCACACTGAGGCTGGGGCAGCTCCTAGCGGTATTCTGGGATTTCGAGGTCCCTCACCTGATTCACTTCTCTCTAGCAATACAAGGCATCAGTGCAACACAGTGAGTGAGCTGGGTACTGCAAGTCTTTTGGAGGAATATAACCTATTTGTGTGTGGCAAGCAGCTAAATAACATGGCAGGACTTTCCTCAGTGATGGATCACACATGGAGCCCACTCAGAATTGTCGTCACGTAATTTGCTTTCTTTCGGTGTATGATATAGGTTCTGTGAAAAAACACAGGTTTTTTTTCGTGTGCCTTAAACATGTATGTAGAACAAAGTGACAAGGTTGGTGAGGGAATATCTTTTACTGGACCATCTTCTGTTGGTGATATATACACGATTTCACTAGGGTCGTGTTCTTGTATAAATCAAAGTGGAAGATTCAACTGTCACATTAAGCAACAAAATTAACATCCATTAAATATTTTGTTCCCGAAAATGAAATAATTGATCAGAGTGGATCTGACCTCTTCTCTGACCCTGGTCGTTCATTTTATAGTAATTAAAGAGATTAACAGTTATTAAGGGATATATATTTCTAATTTTATTTAATTGTTTCAGGGCCGAGATGTCCAGTTGGCATGGAGTATATGGAGTGTGTGTCTCCTTGTGTCAAAACCTGCCAGAGTCTGAATATCAATGAAGTGTGTCAAGGACAATGTGCTGATGGCTGCAGCTGCCCTGGTAATTTATTTACTGATTTATTTACACAGAGGAACATTTGGCAGTGATGTTACCTATTTTATGAGAAGAAGAGAGCCAGTGTCTGTCTTCAAATGTTCCTGAAACCAGAAGCGCTTCTCTTTGTGCATGCCCTTAGAACAGGTCAGTTTCTATACTGCCTGTATGCTTCTCTATGAAAGGACTTCTATTTAAGTTCAGCTAAAAAAAATAAAGGCCTTTGTGAACAGGTCCTTCTTCCAGGCCTGGAGCTGTACCATGTGATGCCTAAAAATCTACAAAATGCTTCTCTATTCCTTTGGGTTAGAGCAATCCAACTCTCAGAAGAAGATATGGAGAAAATTAATCCTGAGGGGGTTCATTAAAGCAAAAAGGGGAAATATTTGACATTTCAGACTAGTGGATGCTTAGTGGTTTGCATATATGGGGTTAATTCTTCTTCCTGCCTTTTTCACACAAATTATTTACTTGACTTCAATGGGGCTACTTGCATGACTATATTGATCAGAACTTGGTCTATGTGGTTTTTCTGCCTTCCTCTAATATGCCCACCACTGACATCTGAAGAAATCTTTATCTCTGGCTGCAAAGACCACATTTCTCCCTCCTCTTGCTTCTCCCAGTGGGAATAGACTTGAGGTTCACGTTTAGAGTGTAGACTTCACTGTGGTGTTTAAAGACACATGTGTAACACTCTGCAGTAATTTACTCAATACCTCATGCAACTGGGTGAGCTTTAACATGTGGAAAATGTGCCTTTAGTTTCATGGGATGGTAGTGGCCACAATGCTAAAATTAGAGGGTGCCATCACCGTTCCATTTTAAATTGCTCTTTGCAGCTATTTTATACCTCAAATTGTTTCTGTTAGGATAAAGTTTTTTGACAGTACACAGCATGCCTAGAAAGATACCTATTGGAGGTGGCAGGGAATCTCTATGAACCAGTTAATTAACAGGCAAACTCCTATAGGCTGTGTTATACAGGAGGTGAGACTAGATCAGGCCTGGGCAAACTACGGCCCTCCAACCCATCAGATCTGTCCCGCAGGCTCCTCTGTTTGCCCTGCAGCCCATGGCTGCTGGGATTCCTTCTGGTTTCAAAACTTGGAGGGGAGGAGGAAAGTTTCAGGAGCCGCTCCACCCCCAGCATGATTCCATTGGCTGGTTTCTGGCCAATGGGCCAAAATAAAAGGCAGCCAGGAAGAACCATGCCCCCTCTCCTCGGCTCAGTTATTCAATGAAGCACATGGCCAGGCAAGCAGGCAGGCTGGCTGGCTGGGAAACGTTTTAAGTTCTGCAAGTCGTAGCTCTGCAGGCAGGCTGGCTGGTTTGTCTGCTGGCTGGTAAGTCTCCTGGCCATAGTCCGCCTCTAGCACCCCATCCCTGCCCCAATCCTCCGCCACCTCCTGCTCAACAAACCCAAACTCACTGTCCCCCTCTTACAACTATACCCCCTCCCAGATCTGGCACCCCAATCTCCTGCCTCAGATCACAATCCCCTTCTATCGTAGGTCACATCCTAAACTCCGGCACTCCAGTCCCCTGCCCTAGGTCACAACCACCTCCTTTACCCAAACTCCCTCCCAGACTTCAGTCTCCCTCCTGCACTCCAATCTTTTATCCCAAGCTCCCCTCTGCACTCAACCTTCATCCCAGACCCCACATCTCCATTAATATCATGGAAGAGTGAGGCTCTTGACCACTTTCCAAATTTTTGGAATGGCTCCCTCTCAAAAATTAATGCCCACCCCTGGACTAGATGATCACAATGCCCCTTGGGATCTTAAAATTTATGAATCTCTGAATCCCTGCTACTCAACCTCACACTTTCCTTCCTCACCCTGGACAAGCTTTGTGTCTGGAAATAGAATCCTAGGGCTGGAAGAGACCTCAGGAGTTCATAGAGTCCAACCATCTGCCCAAAGCAGAACCAACCCGAACTAAACCATCCCATCCAGGGCTTTGTCAAGCTGGGACTTAAAAACCTCTAGGGAGGGAGATTCCACAACCTCCCTAGAGAACCTATACCAATGCTTCACAAACCTCAGTATAGTTCCTTTTTGTAAGGCATGCCGTCACCATGTTAGCCTTTCAGATCTACACACTTTCCTCTGGTCCGATAGCTAGTATTTATCCCTTTTGCCGGTACTCGGGATGGGCGCTGCTCAGCACTCTCTTCCTGCAGCCGCAATGCTTCTGAACTTTTCATCTTGTCTACCAAGCGGCTTGTACAATTCCAAAGACAACTGTGTAAGGAACTCAGATGATGGCGGGCTGCACGGGTTATTAGAGCATTCTTGGGACCTGATCTACATTATGGTATTAGATTGATGCAAAGTGGTTTATGTCCACCCAACTCAGTAAGCAGCTAACTAAAATGTCACCCCCACCCACGTCACCTGCTCAGTGTTCCCACTTAAGAACTGCACCTCTGCGAGAGGCATAGAGTTAGGTCAATGCATTTTCAGTGTAGACACTGTTGCTTATATCTACTGTTGCTTTGCCTCTAATTATAAACACTAAGGCTGTGTCTACACTGGCGCATTCTCACACAAAAACTCTTTTGCGGAAGAGTTCTTCTGCAAAAACTCTTCCAGAAGAGAGCGTCTACACTGGCATTTGCTTTTGCACAAGAGATGTGCTTTTGTGCAAGAGCATCCATGCCAGTGTAGACGGTCTCTTGTGCAAGAAAGCTCTGATGGCCATTTTAAACATAGGGCTTTCTTGCACAAGAAATTCATGTTGCTTGTCTCCACTGGCCTCTTCTGGAAGAGCTCTTGCGCAAAAGGGCTTCTTCCTGAGTGGGAGTGTCAGAGTTCTCACGCAAGGAGCCCTGATTTTATACATTAGAATATCAGTTTACTTGCGCAAGAACGTGCCAGTGTAGACACAGCCTAAAGTTATGTCTATGGAGATTGAGGCATCGCATCAAGGGAACTGAACCCTATAGTGGCCTAACAGGAGAGCTGGGCCTTAAATATGCAGAGAGAGCAAGGATGAAAGCCCTAGGGTTGTTGGGATAAAAAGCCCTGTGTAGACGGGCCATTTGTCAGAAAAAAACCCTTTTGTGCAAGAGCCTGTAAACCTCCTTTTTTGAGGAACAAGGGCTCTTGCGCAAAGAGTTTTTCCCCAACAAATCTCCCCGTCTACACAGAGCTTTTTATCGCAAAAACGTCTTCCACAAAAAGGATCAGAAGAAGATATGCAAATGAGAGAGTGAGATATGCAAATGAGCACTCCATTTTCATTTCTTCCTCCACAAAACACCCGCACTGTAGACATAGCCTAAGTGGGCTGGCCTGGCTAATGCTGGGATGGGTTCTTCAAAAGCAGAGGCTGGGTTAGGCTAGTCCTTAGAACAACAGGTACTGCTGAGTCTGTCCTCTGCCCTGCCCTGCCTCACAAAAACTGGCCTATACCTGCATCGTGGTGTTAACACCACAGTGAACTGGAATACAACAATAAATCCACTTTGGAGCTGGCTGATTTCCTCTTGCTCCCATCCCCTCGCAACACAGATAGGGTAGGGAGGAACCAAGAGAGTGGCATCTGAGCTGTGAAGTACTGCTGCTATGCTGCTTCACAGCTGGTTGTTTCAAATGCAGTAGAACCTCAGCTGCGAACATCTCAGCAATGGCTGTTGTTTGTACCTCTGGCACGTTTAACTGAACCAAAATGTATGGTGGTTCTTTAAAAAGTTTTCAAGTGAACATGGATTTCATAGGCACTCACGCTGCGGGTGCTCAGCACTCCCTGGCAGCCAAGCTCCCCTTCTGAGCCTTCCCCTCAGGGCCTCTTGTCTGCTGGCATCTCCATGGACTAACTCCTTCCCATCCCTCCCAGTGCTGCCTGCCTGCCACCAGACAGCTGTTTTGTGGCATTTGGGATGTTCAGGAAGAGAAAGGGCACACAGCGTGCTTGGGAGCAGTGGTGAAGAAGGGGGTGAAATGACGGTGAGGTGGGGGGGCTTTGGGGAAAGATTGGAGGTTGGGGTGGGGCCATAGATGGAGGAGGGCATCAAGACCCTCCTGGCTAGAGAGGAAAGTGGTCACCTATGATTGACTTAATATAGCCTTGAAAATGTGCTGTCCTGAGGAAAAATGCTGCTTTTAACCATTTAAATTTAAAAGAAACAAGTACAGAAACAGTTTCTACTTTGTCAAACATCCTAAATGTTTCCCTTTTTTATTAGTAGCTTATGTTTAACACACCAGGGTACTGTTTTGGGGGAGCAACATTTTTTTTGCCTTAGCTGCTTGATTGCGTAATTTTGGTTCTAAAGGAGGTGTGTGATTAACTGATCAGTCCCTAACTCTGGTGTTTTCTGAGGTTACACTGTAGCTTCTCTGGTGAGGAGACAGGGGAGAGGAGAGTGCAGAGGAATGGAACTGTAAGAGGGGAAAGGGAAGGGTGCTGGAGAGTGAGAATGGCAAAGTGTGTGGCAGGGAGAGAAAAAGAAGAAAGACTTCAAAATGCGGGTTCGTTTCAGTGCAGCGTTGGTGATGGGGAATTTTACGTGAGTTTCCTACTATGACGTATCCAAGAAGGATCCGACAAAGTGTGCGGCTAGGGAATCTGCTCAAGATGGAACTTGAGAGGATTTTACCAGTGTTTTTCTTTCCTGCTCCAGCCTAGCCTAGCCTCTGCTCCAAGAGAAAAAGGAGCCAGTTCAAATTGGGCACCTCATAGTTGTTTTAATATTTAAAGAATAGTTGTTTTTGCCAGGAAAAGACAGACGTTCCATTTTCTCTTGGGAAAGCCCAGCTGCTTTTAAATGTACAGGTCGCCGTTTAATTTCTCACTGGGATGGACTTCTTGGAAACAAATGGAGGGATGGGATGTGTCGTCTAGTTGTGAGCATAGGACTCTGGAAGCCAGAAATCCTTTGCTCCATTCCTGGCTTTTCATTGTGTAACCTGTCTGTTCCTCAGTTTATCCATCCATAGCATGGGCATAATAATCCTTTAAAGGGCTCTAGGGGGCCATAACCCTTTCATTCCTGATTTGCTGTGTGAGTGACAGGGGGAAGGAGTTGACTCTGGTTCTGTTCCTCTCACAGGCCAGCATGTTGCACTCAGCTTCCTTCTACAGCTTGTTAGCTGAGACAACTGCATTTCCCATCTTGGCCAGCCAGCAAAACTGCAGGCTCTCACTGTTTTCCTGCTGTTCACCAGCTTGCTCCTCCACCCCCTAGCCCACTCATCTTTCCCCAGCTGTTACTATGTCCTCTCCCCTGGCTATGGTCTCCCTACTCGCCTCTCTGCCCCCATTGAAATCCTGGTAAAGACTTGGGACACTGGTCCAGGGTCTACCACCCAATGGTGACAGCACATATGGGGCCATGGCTTGTTATGTTTAGATTACAGCTTCCAAGCTAGCCCTGATCATAAACATTCCAGTGCAGGTTTGGGCCTGGATTTTTTCTCTCTTCCTCTTCTCCCACACGCTAGCATTGGAGGTGGCTCAACATAGATTTCTGGCTTGAGCTCACCCTCCCTCCCACCCCATCCTGGGATCGATTGTGCAGCATGGCTTAAAAAGGATGTCTACAGGGCTTCCAGAAATGCATAATTCAGCACATTTGCAGGTATAAGCCGTAACTGAATGAAACTCATTATCACTTCGTATAAGGTTCTTTGGACAGTCCCAGCCCTTTTCACTTAGCTCTGTGAGTGACCTTGAATGGCAATGCACATGAAATTTTGTCAAGAGTGGATCTAATATGTGTGTTTCTTTTGATTTTTGCCATTGCCTGAACTATCCAGTGGGGAAGCTACTTGATGGTGATAGCTGCGTTGACCACTCCGAGTGTTCCTGCGTACATTCTGGCATGCGCTATCCTCCTGGCTCCTCCATCTCCCAGGACTGCAACTCATGGTAAATACAATGATGAGGTATTGATGTGAGCCAGGCTGCTGTAGATAAGAACTGCTCTTCAGTTTTGTGCACTTCCCCCACTTTTTCTTTCTTTTAATTGGCAAATGTCCAATCTCAGATTTGGAAGTGCCAGCCTCTTCTCAGAAGCGAGCTAATCATAAAAACTAACTCAACTCTATTTCCATAGCGGTATTCAAGCTAATAGAACTATGTAAGGGATATAGTCTTTCATGCAGTAGAAAAATATTTGTTTCCTGAATAACACAAGCTTGCAAACTAAACTCCCAGTTCCAGCTAGTTTTGGAGAGCAGAGTTTTGTTTTGACTTACATTTGTTTAACTTCCCTTGAATCTAGTTCAAAATATCCTTTGAGAAGAGCCAGTTCAGACAAATTCATGCCGCCCAGAACAAAGCCATTATATTGCCCCTCCCCAGTTTGGTAGCCCTAGACAACCTTCTTCTTTCATATCTACTCTGAACACCATCCTGTGAGGGACTTGAGTTACCCAAGTAGGGGGGAGAGAATGAGCAATGTATCCTGAGGGTGTGTGTGTGTGTGTGTGTGTGTAGGTGAAGGTGTAGTTAGGAGAACAATGCTCAGATGTTTCCAGTCAGACAGCAGAAGAGGGAACCTAATATGTGACCCAGCCAGAGCCATAATGCAATAATTCAGGACACTTTTTGTACATATCACTGCTACCCATAAGAAGTAAATCATCCTCCATTCCATATGCCAGTGGTGCATGAGCAATGACCATCAGGTTATCACTTCATCCTCTCACTAGTGGGATGGAGTCCCATGAAGTTAGGGCCTTCTGTAGCTCTAGCTTGGACAGCATTGTCCAAATCACCCTGCCCTGGAGAGACTAGTCCAGTAAAATAGACTTCATCCTTGGTAAATATTTCCTGCTATTCAGCCTAAATATGCCCTTGCTGAATATTGTATCATGGAACCTCTCACTTATATCACTCTACATAATTCAACTCGTGCCAGAGGGAGTACAAGGGATGGGCTAAGTGATAAAATAAGAACCAACCAACCCCTCTCCATGCTCTTTTTAGAAGTTGTGAAGCTTGCAGGCATTGTGCCACATAGTCCCAAGCACGTTAGCAACAGCCACTGGTGTGCCTTGACTAACCCAATCCAGACGGCCATCCACACGCCTGGTGGAAAGAAATATTATTGCTCTCTTCCGCTCACACACAAGAAAGGTTTTTTATAGTTAAAAAAAGCAAGTGCAAGGGTTTCAGTGAACATCCTACCCCAACCTTGAGGCCTTCAGGAGAACATATGTGACAGCTAAAATATGCAGATGGCTTGGGGAAAAAAGAGAAAGAGTTCTATACTTTTATAACCATGCTGATTTGTAGATTTCAAGGCCAGAATGGACCATTTGGATGATCTCCTCTTGACCTTCTATATAACACAGGCCATAGAACTTCCTCATAATGATTCATAGAACTTGTCTTTTAGGAAAAACAAACAAACAATATTACAGTTTGGTACTGCATGATTTACAAGGGGTTAGTTAGATGGAGTATGTGTGGAAGATGCATATGCTAAAAAGCAGTATTGAGTGGAGGTGTCAGGGATGTGGGGGGAAATGATTGGTTTAATTTTTCTGAAGCGGGAGCTTAGCTTTCAACTGTTTTGGGACATGCTACAGTAAGAGATGTGAAATCATGCACTCTGACTTTTTAACAATACTTTTCCTAGCATTTGTCGACGTGGCATCTGGATCTGCAGCAACGAGGAGTGCCCAGGTATACTGACTCTTGTGCTCCGCAAAAGTATGTGAACTTTGCCTAGATCAGTCCCACGCATGGATGAGTACAGCGAGAGAATCATAGAATACTAGAACTGGAAGGGACCTCAAGAGATTATCAAGTCCAGTCTCCTAAGAATCTGTGTCCTTGTTTCGAGCTCTAGCTGCAAGTCAAGATCATGTTTCAGGAGTTCAGGATCCATAAGATAATTCAGACTGTGCAGATTTGCTTTTGTGTGGCTATGTAAACTCCTGTTTAGGGAGGAAAGCATGAGTTCCCTTTCCATTGCTTTTCTTGTCATGTTGTAGGAGAGCTATAGTTTCAGAGTATTAGCACTCAGGAAGGCGCCGTGTTTGTCATAAATATTATGCCAGTCAAAATCTGTTCTTGGTTGCAGCCTTTTTGTTTTTATTGAGATTATAGGGGTGAATTGGTATGTGTGGAGCAAAGGCCTGCAGCTAGAATGGAGTTTAAAATTCTGCTACTGCAGAGCACGGAATAGAATCCAGCTCTGTCTTTGAGGTGAATTGGCTTTGCAGGATGAACAGGAATCTCCCTTCAGCAACTCAAATATAACTCATTGGTCAACTAATGGAGGACAGGCTGAGGAGTAGACATGTATAGCTAATGTGTACATGGCCACTTGTATAAAAATGTACATTCAGGCCATATATATTCTGAAGATGTGCCTTTTCTCCCACTCATTATATGTGGCTTGTCATTTTAGGCTCAGCACCTGCCATTTGTTCTGGCCTGCAGAGAGAAATTCTGATCTTGGTACATCATGTTCACTGGGATTGCCCTGCCACCCATTTCACTTTCTTTACATAGATGTTATAAATGTTTTGGAAGGTCTCTCTGTGCTTGGGAGTTTGGCAAAAATATCCCCCTTCCTCTCCCTCCTCTGTCAGGCCTGCTCCCCTTGCCTTCATTGGGGCTACATGAGGTTTGGGGGCTTGGCCTCATGAAATAACTTGCTTAGATATAAGAGCTTTGGTGCAGGGAACACGTCTTTCCTAACAGGCTTTTGCACTGGTGTAAGTAAGATAATTAGGTAAATTGGTACAACTTGGTGTGTGTGAACAAGGCCATACTAGTGGTTGCGTAACCACACTGAAGTCCCTGGTTCCGCTTGTACCCCACTTAAAGTCCTAGTAAAGAGTCATTTAGAAGGCTTGGGCTGGTTTCCTGTGTAAGGCTGAGCTTCAGCCTGTGTGAGGAAATCTTGAACTATGGTCTTCCTAGCTTTGGCTGGAGCCCTCACTTCCAGTGGGATGAACCATGCTGCCACTACTATCCAACCTTTTAGAAGCAGTGAGTTTGGCACACCTGTTCAGTGCTGTATGCCTCTGAAAAAGCAGGAATTTGCTCAGTGATCTGACTGTCTTCCCTTGGTATTTTTCAGGAGAATGTTTGGTCACGGGCCAATCTCATTTCAAAAGTTTTGACAACAAGTATTTCACCTTCAGTGGGATCTGCCAATACTTATTTGCCAAAGACTGTGAGGAGAACTCTTTTTCCATCATCATAGAGACAGTCCAGGTAACAGTGCCCTTCCTGTAGCTATGTGTTGAAGGAGTGGATGAATAGAGCTTTCTATAAACATAAGGCATTTTCCTATGAAAATTAGCTAGAATCTTTTTTCTGAATTAACATGTTTTGCTGCCTCTCCTTTAACCCCAGTCTGTAGATTCAATTTCACAGTGAGACTGAATTGTCTCTCTGGAGTTTTGCTAAGTTAGTATATTAATATGAGAGATGAGAGGGCGTGCCCCAACACTCTGAGCTGTTTCAACTGCTTGCTCCATGTTTGCCCTGGGCATGTGCTTCCTCAGAATCTGAGAGACATAGAATGGTATTGTCACCCTAATAGTCTGGAGTTCGGTCTCACGCGGTCATATTGGCTAATAAGTTACATTGCTCCCTAGTTCCTCAGCCCCTTTCAATTTCTTCACTCTGCCACCTGCTGCAGAGAGAATGGCAAGGCCTCAGTTTCAGGGCAGGAAATGGAGATAGGCAAAGAGAAATGGAAAGGGTATGTGGCAGCCTGTGAGGGTTTATGGTCCTGGAGCAGGCTTGTAGAGACTGCAGCCCAGCCATTAGGGCACCTGAAGCCCATCTGGAGTCAGCCTGGAGAGTGGACTGATTGGAGCACCTGCCACCAGTTAAGGCTATGGGTACACAATACAAACCTTCCCTCAGGCATGGCAGAGGGGAGGAGAAAAGGAACAGAGCAGAGCGCCCACACCTGAGGCAGCCAGCAACAGGGCGTGTTCCAAGGCTTCAGGGAGGAGGTACCCAGGAAGGGTTGGGGAAGTGGCCCAGGGAGGGGGCCACTATTCAGTGGGGCAAGGGCCATGCCTCACAGCCCACTTGGGGCTATTGGCCTCCCCCTAGGGCCCTGGACTGGAACCTGGAGCAAGTGGGTGGGACCGGGTTCCCCCCCCAACTTCTTCCTCCTGTCTGGTGGGCTGCCAGTAAGAAAAGGAAAGACCTTGTGGGCTAACGGAGGGGCGGACCTCCAGAAACCCTGGACTGACCGATGATGAAAAGGGCACGCTCGTGCCTTCTTGGCAGTGGTAGGGACACCAGTGGTAGGGACCTGTGAGGTGCATGCAAAGGCCTGCCAGGAAGCGTGGGACCCAGGAGTCTTAGCCTAGACTTGCCACAGGTGCCAGGGCATATTGGAACAGGGAATGGCCACCCTGGAAGGATGCCAGCAGAGTGCTGTAAGGGAGTTTTGCATAAGGCGCAGTAAAAAAGGGATGGGAGTTGGTGAGAGAATTGAGGGAGTGGGACACAGGACAGGGAAAGCCCAGGAACTTGCTGAGGGAGATGAGACTATACAATTGAGGGATGGCAGAGAAGAGGAGAGGGAGAGGGAGAGAAAGGACCACAGCACTGGGCATGAGGAGGATTTGAAAGCAGAGAGGACGGCACCAGGGCGGAAGGAGGGAGGCAGCAAAAGCAGCCTGAAGAGCACAGTGGCAGAGATGAGAAGGGAATACTTTTCCACAGCAGCAGGAGCAGATTAGAGATCAAGAGGTCCCTTAGAGAAAGTAGCTCACTTGTTTTAGGCCCATCCCCATCCACCACATTTGTGCAGAGCTGTGTTCGTAGAACTGGCATAACTGGTTTCCGCTGACACTGTTCTTTCTAAACTGATGAGGGAAGTCTGAAGCCTGTGAATCACTGTCTCCTGCCTGCAGAGTGTTCTGCCTGAAGCTTCGTAACTAATAACCGCAGCATTTGAAATGGTGACAGTGAGAGCTACATGCTTCTACTTCCCCATCTGAACGAACCTGTGACGTGTCTCATCATCACTTCAGACAGAACAGTCAGGAGGAGAGGTGCTATTGCCACACAGTGTAGCCTGCTCCCACGGTTCCTGCTATAGCTCCTTTTCCAGTTCCCTGAGAAGAGATGGTGCCCTAGAGTTCCTAGATATGAAGCTTGATCTCTGGTTTGTGTATTAATTACTCCAAGTGCTTAAAAATTCCCAGTTATCCTTCTGTGGTTTTGACTGTCCTGTCCCAAGATCAGCCCCGTTGCTATTCAAATTATTGTTCAGTGTGAAATTACTACAGAGTTGCAACACTTACACTGGAGGAACCCACCAGTATTTGTAACAGTTTTATTAATGAGTTCTGCGAAGTTACAAATACTTTATCCCAGCACGGTAGTTAGAGAGAATACAGAATGTACGTCTGAACATCCGTATATTCACACCTTTCTTGTAGAACCATCTGAAATGTTAGCCATTGGCTTCCTATCACTCATCACCCCTTCTGTATCATCATCAGTGGCCATCATCCTGGCTCCTCCCAAGGGCTGCATGTTTCTCACCTCCTGTCCCAAGGCTGGTATTCACCTTTTATAATATGTTACATTGACATCCCTAAGCCTCATGCACATTTCCTAGGGCTTTTTCCCCTCTTCCCCATTTGTATTTCCTCATCCTTCTAATGTTTGGGTGTCAAGGGCTAGAGGTTAGTGTAATAATGATCCCATCTCATTATCTTATATGTCAATTTGTTGCGATAACACTCTTGTGTCCTATCCTAACATAGCCAAAAGCTGGTGTTAGCTCATATTTCTGCAGCTGCATGGTTTCCCTATTTACAAACTTCCCCCTGTAAACACACCGTTCTCAGTTCTTCAAAACATAGGAGTGTCAGTTGGGCCATTTATCTTTGCCAAAGTTCATAGGCCTCGTGCCTTATACTAACTGCTGTAGCCAGTATCTTACAGGCTACAGGTTAGGGATGTGAAATTTAGATTAATTAACTAATCAAAATTAACTACAGTACTCAAATTTAGATTAATTAACTAAATCAAATTAACTAACTAGCCGGGCTTTTGCTACAGTTCAAAAGTGAAAGCCCCTCAGGGAGTGCACAGCCAGCGGGGGACTGACCTTGCACTCCCTGCAGCGCCTGAGCCTTTGAAATAGACAAGAGCTCCAGTAGGACTCTTGTACATTTCAAAAGGAAGCCCTGCAGGGAGCATGGGGCCAGTGGGGGAGTGGCCCTGTGTTCCCCACTGGGGCTCTGTTACATTTCAAAAGCAGAATAGCAGCAGAAGCGGTGTGAGTGGAGATCGCTACAGTCCCTGCTTGCGTCATTTCCCACTGTGCCTCTACCTCCCCTTCGTCTAGCGGAGACGGTGCTGGTGGGAACCGGCTTTTAAGTTGGCTCCCCCCAGCATTGACTCCTGTTTCTCTGTCAGTTGCTCCTCTCTGATAGAGAAAGCCAGGGGCTGGGGGAGTGACTAGTCACATCACTAGTCAACTATCCAATAAGCTTATGCTTATCAGATAGTCGACTAGTCACTTACATCCCTAGTACAGGTCTGTAGATTCGCTGGATTACTGCTAAGTAAAGTAAATACTAAAGCTAGTTCTAATGACTACAGATGTGACAATAACCATACGGGTTTCTGGCTCAGCATGCTGGAGGAGCTGAGCCACTGATAAGGTGAAATCCTAACGGTCACAGGAAATGTTGGTTTCTTTTTAGTGTGCAGATGATCCCGATGCAGTGTGCACCCGCTCAGCCTCTGTCCGACTCCAGGACATGGAAAACAGCACCATCAAAATGAAGCACGGGGGCGGCATCTCGTTGAATGGCCAGGACATACAGATTCCTTTGACACAAGGTGTGTTTGTGGCATGGGACGATTCAGGCCATGCACTGAAGTTGTGTCTTTGCTGCACACTGAGCCCAGGCTCTACTTTGAGCCAACTCCCTCTTTCCCCTGCCTTCTAGCTGTACAGAATCAGTCTGATTCCGGTCAGCATGCACTCAGGACCTGATCCAAGGATGCTACTAGGTGGTGGGTCAGAGCCACTGGGACTCTGATCCATGCTCTGTCATTTTTAGTGTGGATGCCATTCAAGCTGTAGCTCCAAGTCAGAAGGTCTGTTTAGCATAGGATAGGTGGGTCTGCACAGCTTTAGGAATGACATCCAGCAATTCTAAACTCAGGTTTATAATGCAGCATAGACACTCTAGCAAGGGTTTGGAAACACTGAATTCAGCAAAACTGGGGTCCACAGATGCAGGCAAAACCTATGTTTACAATACCACAGAAAGTCAACATAAGGTACATAATTCCAACTACATAAAGAATGTACAGTAAAACTCCAGTTGTCCGGCATCCAGTGGTCCAGCACTCCTGATAGTCAGGCACCAACTGGAATCCAGAAGTGCTCCGGCCAGCGGGACAATTGGAGCTGCTCTTCCCCTGGCTTCCCCAAGTCCGCCGCTGGTCACTTGTTCTGCCCCCATACCCCAGATGAGAATAGTAAGGTAAGTCAAAGGGAGAGTTTCTCCGTGAAAACCCCTCATGGCATAGACTCCACTGTAACTCGACATAGTGTACATTGATTTAAGCGGCTGACTTGAGGAAGCTGGGGGCAGAGCAGCTGGGGTGCTGCCGGGTTGGTCCTGCAGCACCGCCCCTCACCTGAGTGGTGCTGCGGGACCAACCCGGCAGCACCCCAGCTGCTCTGCCCCCAGCTTCCTCAAGTCAGCCGCTTAAATCAATGTACACTATGTCGAGTTACAGTGGAGTCTATGCCATGAGGGGTTTTCACGGAGAAACTCTCCCTTTGACTTACCTTACTATTCTCATCTGGGGTAGAATAATGGAATCGACTGGAGACGGTGATCTGTGGTTGATTTGGAGGGTCTTCATGAGACCCACTAAATCAACTGCTGGTGGCTCAATCTCAGAGCATCGATCTCTGCTGTAGTGTAGATGTAGCCTTATTGTGCAGTATAGACATACCTGAAGCTGTATCCCTTCTCAACTTTCTCAGGCAGGCTTTAGCCTATCTTGAAGAATGTTTTCTATTCCTAACTCTGAGTCACGTTTATAGAGTTATCACATTTTTATTGCACTGCATTATGCCAGGTTCTTTTGCATGTGTGTCCCGAGCCCCATGTAATGTAAATTGACCCTTCTCTATTGATATTGGTGGAGCTATACTTTGTTGTTGACTATTGGGGGACCTGTAGCCCATTTTGTTCAAAATTAATGTGCTGCGGTGCCAGTTCCATTGGCCTGTATGGATGGAACGGGTGATGTTCTACACCCTGCCCATCTCTGCACCTTCCAGACAGCTTAGAACAGTGGTTCCCAAACATTTCCAGATGGGGACTTATTTTGACAATTCAAGAAGACTTGGTTACCCAAGGCAATTCAAAAACGGGGGGAGGAGAGAGGGTAGAGCCACCTGGGGAGACACTTGGCGACCATTTTGAAATGTAATGGCGACCCATATTTGGGTCCTGACCCATAGGTTGGGAAACCCTGGCTTAGAACCAATAGGCGTTTGTGCTACACTAGCATTGTCTTTGTGCCCCCATTTGAATTTGGCTCGTCTGGGTCAACAAAATCCCTGTGTCTACACGAGGAGTGTGCATAAGGGCCACTACATTTGTTCAAAGAAAATAGTGTAGGCAAATCTGAAGTGTATCTGCTTAGATCCATCTCATGGGCTGATAATCTGAAGTGTATCTGCTTAGATCCATCCCATGGGCTGACGAGGCCATTGTCTCCACCTTGCTGATAATAGAATACATCCTTCTTGTCTGAAACCTGTCCAATGTGTTTTTAGGTGCCATCCATATCCAGCGCATTATGTTGTCTTCAGTTCGCCTCACCTATGGGGAAGATTTACAGATTGACTGGGATGGTCGTGGTAAACTGCTGGTGAAGGTAGTTTTCTCTCCTCCAAACGTACACAAAGACTTTCTTGTCTGATGTGAGAAATTGCTTTGTGGTGCATGCTAGAAATTCCATTTTCTCTCTCTGCCCTCAGAGCAATATACTGATCCTTTTGTTTCCCAGAAACAAACATTTGCACCACAGCAACTGCTTGATTTTTTTTCTTTTCTTTTCTGTGCACTAACAGTAGCCATTAACCATGAATAGCTTTGCTTTCTGTGGAGCAGACCTTCTGTGGGCCAGATTTTGGATTCTATTTACTCTTGTCCATCTCCAATGAGGTCAATAGGATTGCACAAGTGAAAATGAGGTGAATTTGGCCCATACGATACATTCATATGTTCAAGGGAAAAAAATCAATTTAATTGCACAGGATATGCAGCATATTGCTCCTACTGAGAATAATATTTATGGACATTCTGGATCAACATAAACATCGGGCACTTGGTTGTCAATAATTGCTTTTTTCCATCCAACAAAAAATAAGGCTAATCAGTAAGCATATCTATAGTAGCCCAGTGTCTGTGAGTCTGTAACGCTGCCACCTGGCCGTATACATCAGCGCCCCACCCCCCTTCCCTCTGCCTCCGTGGTGGCT